TTTCTAGTCCTTGAAATTCCCTGATATTTCCAGGCTTTTCCAGGACCGTGGGAACCATGGTCACAAGATTGGTCTGAATGATTTATTATATTCGACTGAATCAGTCAAAATGACAACGCACTGACTCATGAAACAAGATTTGTCTTTTTCATATTGTTCCAAGACATCTTGATTCTGTCATATATGTTACATAAAGATGAATTGAAATGACCTATTCGGAAGAAACGATTCACTGAGTCGGCTCAGTAAATTAAAGTATTTTTGTAATACAATGACCAAAACTTTTTGGTAAGCACAGTTGGTAACACTTTATAATAAGGTCCCATTAGTTAAAGTTTGTTAATGTGAATACAACTAATAATTAGCAATAGATGTGTTACAGTATTTATTAATCTTTGTAAATATTAGCTATTAAAAGCACAGCTGTTCATTGTAGCTCAAGTCCATTCAATAATATTACAACTTTTGATTTTGATAATGCATTTGTAAATGTTTACATTAACATCAACTAAGATTGAAAAATGCTTCAGAAGTATTCATTAGCTAAATACAGTATTTAGAGTGTTTATAGTAATGTCAACAAATGGAACCTTATTGTAAAGGGTAACAAAAAAAGAGAAAGAGAAATAAATTGAGAGGATGCCTCACATAATCACATAATCAAATGTACGGGACAGGAAAGAGACAGAAAACAAGACAGTAATGAGACAGGAAAAAAATAGGATAGAGACAGCAATGAGACCGAAAACAGATAGGAAAGAGACCAGACCAAGACAGGAAACAGACAGGATTGAGGCAGGAAACAGGCAGGACTGACGCAGTAAACAGGCAGGAAACAGACAGGATTGAGGCAGGAAACAGACAGGAAACAGGCAGGAAACAGACAGGAAACAGAGAGGATTGAGGCAGGAAACAGGCAGGAAACAGACAGGAAACAGAGAGGATTGAGGCAGGAAACAGGCAGGAAACAGACAGGAAACAGACAGGATTGAGGCAGGAAACAGGCAGGAAACAGACAGGAAACAGACAGGATTGAGGCAAGAAACAGGCAGGACTGACGCAGTAAACAGGCAGGAAACAGACAGGATTGAGGCAGGAAACAGACAGGAAACAGGCAGGAAACAGACAGGAAACAGAGAGGATTTGAGGCAGGAAACAGGCAGGAAACAGACAGGAAACAGAGAGGATTGAGGCAGGAAACAGGCAGGAAACAGACAGGAAACAGACAGGATTGAGGCAGGAAACAGGCAGGACACAGACAGGAAACAGACAGGATTGAGGCAGGAAACAGGCAGGAAACAGACAGGACTGACGCAGTAAACAGGCAGGAAACAGGAAGGAAACAGACAGGAAACAGACAGGATTGAGGCAGAAAACAGGCAGGAAACAGACAGGATTGAGGCAGGAAACAGGCAGGAAACAGACAGGAAACAGAGAGGATTGAAGCAGGAAACAGGCAGGAAACAGACAGGAAACAGGCAGGAAGCAGACAGGAAACAGACAGGAAACAGGCAGGAAGCAGACAGGACTGACTCAGTAAAAAGGCAAGAAACAGACAGGAAACAGACAGGATTGAGGCAGGAAACAGACAGGAAACAGGCAGGAAACAGACAAGATTGTGGCAGGAAACAGGCAGGAAACAGACAGGATTGAGGCAGGAAACAGACAGGAAACAGGCAGGAAGCAGACAGGACTGACTCAGTAAACAGGCAGGAAACAGACAGGAAACAGACAGGATTGAGGTAGGAAACAGACAGGAAACAGGCAGGAAGCAGACAGGACTGACTCAGTAAACAGGCAGGAAACAGACAGGATTGAGGCAGGAAACAGGCAGGACTGACGCAGGAAACAGACAGGAAACAGACAAGATTGAGGCAGGAAACAGGCAGGAAACAGACAGGACTGACGCAGTAAACAGGCAGGAAACAGGCAGGAAACAGACAGGATTGAGGCAGGAAACAGACAGGAAACAGACAGGATTGAGGCAGGAAACAGGCAGGAAACAGACAGGACTGACGCAGTAAACAGGCAGGAAACAGATAGGAAACAGAGAGGATTGAGGCAGGAAACAGGCATGAAACAGACAGGATTGAGGCAGGAAACAGGCAGGAAAAAGACAGGATTGCGGCAGGAAACAGGCAGGAAACAGACAGGATTGAGGCAGGAAACAGATAGGAAACAGAGAGGATTGAGGCAGGAAACAGGCAGGAAACAGACAGGATTGAGGCAGGAAACAGGCAGGAAAAAGACAGGATTGCGGCAGGAAACAGGCAGGAAACAGACAGGATTGAGGCAGGAGACAGGCAGGAAACAGACAGGATTGAGGCAGGAAACAGACAGGAAACAGGCAGGAAGCAGACAGGACTGACTCAGTAAACAGGCAGGAAACAGACAGGAAACAGACAGGATTGAGGCAGGAAACAGACAGGAAACAGGCAGGAAGCAGACAGGACTGACTCAGTAAACAGGCAGGAAACAGACAGGATTGAGGCAGGAAACAGGCAGGACTGACGCAGGAAACAGACAGGAAACAGACAGGATTGAGGCAGGAAACAGGCAGGAAACAGACAGGACTGACGCAGTAAACAGGCAGGAAACAGGCAGGAAACAGACAGGATTGAGGCAGGAAACAGGCAGGAAACAGACAGGATTGAGGCAGGAAACAGGCAGGAAACAGACAGGAAACAGAGACGATTGAGGCAGGAAACAGGCAGGAAACAGACAGGAAACAGGCAGGAAGCAGACAGGAAACAGACAGGAAACAGGCAGGAAGCAGACAGGACTGACTCAGTAAAAAGGCAGGAAACAGACAGGAAACAGACAGGATTGAGGCAGGAAACAGACAGGAAACAGGCAGGAAACAGACAAGATTGTGGCAGGAAACAGACAGGAAACAGGCAGGAAACAGACAGGATTGAGGCAGGAAACAGACAGGAAACAGGCAGGAAGCAGACAGGACTGACTCAGTAAACAGGCAGGAAACAGAAAGGAAACAGACAGGATTGAGGCAGGAAACAGACAGGAAACAGGCAGGAAGCAGACAGGACTGACTCAGTAAACAGGCAGGAAACAGGCAGGAGACAGACAGGATTGAGGCAGGAAACAGGCAGGACTGACGCAGGAAACAGACTGGAAACAGACAGGATTGAGGCAGGAAACAGGCAGGAAACAGACAGGACTGACGCAGTAAACAGGCAGGAAACAGGCAGGAAACAGACAGGATTGAGGCAGGAAACAGGCCGGAAATAGACAGGATTGAGGCAGGAAACAGGCAGGAAACAGACAGGACTGACGCAGTAAACAGGCAGGAAACAGATAGGAAACAGAGAGGATTGAGGCAGGAAACAGGCAGGAAACAGACAGGATTGAGGCAGGAAACAGGCAGGAAAAAGACAGGATTGCGGCAGGAAACAGGCAGGAAGCAGACAGGACTGACTCAGTAAACAGGCAGGAAACAGGCAGGAAACAGACTGGATTGACGCAGGAAACAGGAAACAGGCAGGACTGACGCAGGACACAGACAGGAAACAGACAGGATTGAGGCAGGAAACAGGCAGGAAGCAGACAGGAAACAGGCAGGAAGCAGACAGGACTGACTCAGTAAACAGGCAGGAAACAGGCAGGAAACAGACAGGATTGAGGCAGGAAACAGGCAGGAAACAGAAAGGATTGCGGCAGGAAACAGGCAGGAAACAGACAGGATTGAGGCAGGAAACAGACAGGATTGAGGCAGGAAACAGGCAGGAAACAGACAGGAAACAGGCAGGAAGCAGACAGGACTGACTCAGTAAACAGGCAGGAAACAGACAGGAAACAGACAGGATTGAGGCAGGAAACAGACAGGAAACAGGCAGGAAACAGACAGGATTGTGGCAGGAAACAGACAGGAAACAGGCAGGAAACAGACAGGATTGAGGCAGGAAACAGACAGGACTGACTCAGTAAACAAGCAGGAAACAGACAGGAAACAGACAGGATTGAGGCAGGAAACAGGCAGGAAACAGACAGGAAACAGAGAGGATTGAGGCAGGAAACAGGCAGGAAACAGACAGGACTGACGCAGTAAACAGGCAGGAAACAGACAGGATTGAGGCAGGAAACAGGCAGGAAACAGACAGGATTCCGGCAGGAAACAGGCAGGAAACAGACAGGATTCCGGCAGGAAACAGGCAGGAAACAGACTGGATTGACGCAGGAAACAGACAGGAAACAGACAGGAAACAGGCAGGAAACAGACAGGAAACAGGAAACAGACAGGAAACTGACAGGACTAACGCAGGAAACAGGCAGGAAACAGACAGGATTGGGGCAGGAAACAGGCAGGAAACAGACAGGGTTGAGGCAGGAAACAGACAGGAAACAGACAGGATTGAGGCAGGAAACAGGCAGGAAACAGACAGGATTGAGGCAGGAAACAGGCAGGAAACAGGCAGGAAACAGACAGGGTTGAGGCAGGAAACAGGCAGGATTGAGGCAGGAAACAGGCAGGATTGAAGCAGGAAACAGGCAGGAAACAGACAGGAAACAGGCAGGAAACAGGCAGGATTGAAGCAGGAAACAGACAGGATTTAGGCAGGAAACAGACAGGACTGACGCAGGAAACAGACAGGAAACAGACAGGAAACAGGCAGGAAACAGACAGGAAACAGGAAACAGACAGGAAACTGACAGGACTAACGCAGGAAACAGGCAGGAAACAGACAGGATTGGGGCAGGAAACAGGCAGGAAACAGACAGGGTTGAGGCAGGAAACAGGCAGGAAACAGACAGGATTGAGGCAGGAAACAGGCAGGAAACAGACAGGATTGAAGCAGGAAACAGGCAGGAAACAGACAGGATTGAGGCAGGAAACAGGCAGGAAACAGGCAGGATTGAGGCAGGAAACAGGCAGGATTGAGGCAGGAAACAGGCAGGATTGAAGCAGGAAACAGGCAGGAAACAGACAGGAAACAGACAGGAAACAGGCAGGATTGAGGCAGGAAACAGACAGGAAACAGTACCTTGTTGTATTCAGATGCTGAGTAGAGACTGATTCTTCTACTTTTGCCACAAACGGGCTACTCAACAGACTGAAAGAGAGAAACAGGCGTTTTCCTTCATCTCACATCTGAGGAACAGGAAGATCTTGAGATGATTCGGAAGGAAAAGGATGAAAAGGTGAGGATGTTTTAAAAGAGAAATGAAACGACAGGGGAAAAGAGGAAAATCCAAAAGCATTTGCTTGTTTACACCATACATGCAAACGCAAAACTCTTAAACTGAACAACATCAGCCTGCAAACCACGCACAAGCAAACGACCACAGAGTTCGATGGATGGATGAAAACCCAGAGTAACTCACTGCGAAGCGTCTGTTACTACAGGTAGAGCGATGTCTTCTCCAGTGAAGTCCAGTTCATCCACCAGACTGTTGTTTCGGGAGATGACGGGGCCATCCAACTTTTTCTTAACTGTCGAGAAAATTAAATTTTAGTATCTCCATTAAACCACAAACTCGCATGACAGATGATAACAGGCAAGTATTTAGATGTGATAGAATAAAAATAATTGCACAAATGTCAGAAAATGTATGCATTCTGGAGAAAACTCAAGAAAAGAGACTGAAGAAAGAGAGAGCAATTGCACAATAGTGGCAAGGAAAAGAAAGACAGATACCTGGAGAAGCAGGACAGCTGAGCGCGAAAGCCGACCACGAGCGCTGCCTGTCTATTGACATGCAGAGAGAAGAAAAAGTGCACACTAAGATCATGCTAAATGACAAACAACACAAGATAAGCGACAGAGGCAGAACACGATCTATATGAGAGTTCAATCCAGTGGCGCAATAAGTGGGTATGCGCTATATGCGGCGCATAGGGGCGCAGCACCATGGGGGGCGCCAAAGCGATGGTAAAAAAAATTTTCATTCAAATTTAATTTAAAAAAAATATATATATATATATATATATATATTGTATTTTCTATATGTAGCTGCTGTTGTGCATTTCTAAATCATTTCTGCATTTCTTCAATGTTACATAAAATTTTAGAGGACTAGGATTTAAAGTGTGACATCCAGGCATGTAGGCTATCTATATCTCTGTGGCCATCGGGACTACCGGGAGATTCCCGGTAGACCGACGTGCTTTTTCGGCTGATACAGCTTTTTTTTTTTTGTCTTAATGGCCCATAAAACTCGTACATCGGCGGGCCATTCGTGTTTTTTTTTTTGCTTAATTGGCGGCGCTGGGTTAGTGCCGGTGTAATGCATTGGTCAAAAAAAGTCAGCGTTAGTCATGTGCTTATATCTTTATAGAAATGAGTACAAAACTAATAATGAAAGTTTCCTTTATTTTTTAGTGCATTTGTTTTACAATATATGGCTATTACTATCATGGGATTAATATTATAACTATTATTATGTAGTAGTGTAATGTAGACAGACACTAACTAAAAGAGGTTTGAATTTTTCTTTGTTTAATTTGCACCCTGAATATGGGTTGGAGCTTTTAATTTTGAACTCTCAAAGTGCACCACACTGCTGAATTTAACATTAAAGAACACAAAATTTTCTTACGGGGGGGCATGCCCCCGAACCCCCCTAGAGAAACAGAGGTCCATCTACCACAGTTTTACCTAAAATCCTGTGAGAAACACTGGTATTGCTGTTCCAATTTCTGTATAGTTTTTTTAGGGGGGTTCATCACGGTGGAGTAGCTATAGTGTAATTGTATTAATAAATGACAATTTTGCACTTATTTTATCTGTTAGCTCTCACTCGTTCCTACTCACTATTACATGGCACACTTATTTATTTATTTTTCTTTTTTGGGGGGGAGGGGAGCGCAAAAATTGTTGCAGCATACCCCTCTGACACTGGGTCAAAATTGATTGAATCAATCAATCAATCAATTTTATTTACATATTTAGCACACTTAAAACAACCAAAGTTGACCAAGGTGCTTCACAGGTTAAATACAACAACAGGACACTACTCACACAATAAAAATACAACAATAGTTGAGGTAGTAAAGGTGTGTACTTATGCCAGTTGTTTAGTTTTTGTTTGTTTTTTGCATAAATAGTGTGAAAATTCCAAAAAGAAAAAATGCACTTTAAACCGAATGATGCACTTAATAAACTGAAAAATTAAGTGCATTATGTTTTGCATGCTAACCAACTAGCATGATAAAAAAGGTGCGTCCCAAATTGCGCACTATTCTATGCCATTTTTATTAGTGTAAAAATTCCAAAAACAAAAAAAAAGCACATTAAATACCCAGATGATGCACTTATTTCACTGAAAAAACAAAGTGTGGATTGTTGGACACTTCATGCACTCAACTGATGCAGTTTTCCTGACACACACCATATATATACACATGTGAAAGTGTGTGTGTGTGTGTGTGTGTGTGTGTGTGTCTGTGTGTGTGAGAGAGAGTGTGTGAGAGAGAGTGTGTGAGAGAGTGTGTGTGAGAGAGTGTGTGAGAGAGAGTGTGTGAGAGAGAGAGAGAGTGTGTGTGTGTGTGTGTGTGTGTGTGTGTGATTGCTCATCAAACTTCAAATGATCTGAGCTGCTAGTCACACTGATTTCACAACTTTATACTCTTTTATTTTAATTTCTGTTTTATTTAAAAAAATGTACATACTGTATCTGGTTTAATGGAACTGCTTTGACACGCCTTGTTTCATTTATGCAAACCGCTGCCTTTTAATTGTCACTTTTTGCAAGAATAGCACACATTTTAGTTTTTAAGCATCTTTATGTTGCAAGCCACATCAATACAACATGCACTTGCAAAAAAGCAGAAGCAGAAAACCACAGCGCCAAAGCTCTCACCTGACGATCGGAAAAGTTTTGTGAAGCCTGCGTAAAGGGAAAAACATGTAACCGTTTAAACTTAGTGGGACATTTGGTCTAACTTCTTACAATCCAGTCAATTCCCAATGGATAAAAAACATATCTGTCATGTTGAATATCCAGTTTAACTCAGAAATACGTTACATAATGTCACTTTTCCTAAATGTTATGATTCATGTCAGAACTTTAGCACTTATACTGAGATGCTGAGAAAATGAATGTAAATACACTTTTCCAGCAAACGCTCAGACCATCTAACCGGCTCAAGGCTTTGATAAGCCAAACTTTCCCCAGTTCAAAGGACTGCAGACATGTGCTGCGATTTCATTATCTTTCCCCTCTTCTCTTCTAATTAAGCTTCAGAAGAGACGTCTCTGCTGGGGACCGTCTGTGTCGATGCGTCTGCTTTTATGATGAAGCCATTTGACAGGAAAACTCATAAAAACAGAGTTATTAACAGACTGGTTTAGCAGGGGACCGTTTGAGCACCGGATGCCTTCCATTCACATGTGGAAAATGACATTTATTCAATACGGAAAAGTGGGTCACGTCGAAACTTTTCATCTTTCCATCCTCTTTATGCGCTTCCGCTCAACTTATGGGGTAAAAGAATGGAGTAAGTAAACGACTGCAGCCTCTTTTGTGTCTTGTTTTCTGGTTGGACGCTCCAGTGGAGAAGAAACTTTCACTTTTCACAGTTTCTTGGATACAAGTTCAACATTTTCGTGCTTATTACTACTCAGCTATTTCCAGTTTCCTGGAAGCTGGACGAGAGCGATCTGGTGAATTTGGCCAATACGAGTCGACACTCATTCATACGCAAGACTTAATAAAATCAAGCTCAGATTTGCCGCGGTCTAATTCATTTAACGGACAGGCTTCTCATGTGACACTGTTAAGAAGAAACATCAGGAACACGGTGATCCTCTTCTTAATAGTGGGTCAACACTGGCTACGTTTACACGCAAACTAATAATCTGCTAATAATCGGATTGAGGACTCAATCAGGCTGGAAACTCTTCATGTAAACTCCTCAAACGATCCACATTTTTGACAATGAAAACTTGGAATACTTTCTCAATCGGATTAAAATAAAATAAAATAAAATAAAATAAAATAAAATAAAATAAAATAAAATAAAATAAAATAAATAAAATAAATAGATAAAATAAAATACAATAAAATAAAATAAATAGATCAAATAAAATAAATAGATCAAATAAAATAAAATAAAATAAATAGATCAAAAAATAAAATAAAATAAAAATTGGCAATAGCACATACCATTATTTTAACAAACTAAAATTAAAATAAAAACTGAAAATAAAAATATTATGAAGTCTCAGATGAACCGAATTATCTTCATGTAAACATCTCGATCCGATTAGGCGCGTAAACCTTTAAAACCAAATCCTTTCTCAATCAGATTCTAAAACACCTTGCGCACATTAGCAGTGCTGTGGTGTGCGTATGTTTATTTACGTCCCGCAAACGGTCAAATATTTCGAAATAATGTTCAGAATAGATGTAATGCACATGTAAATGAATATTTGAATTGGATTACAAAGTTTAGGTTATATAAACAGTAATGATATATGATTGGATTAATTGACGGATTGATTAAATCAGAGCATGAAAACACACCCACAGTGAACGGATCAAAAACAGTGTCTTAGCAAAACAAATGGTATTATGATAAGCCATACACTTTTCAGTAACTTAAAGGGTTAGTTCACCCAAAAATGGTGAACTACAGTTTAAGATATTTTAGATTTAGTCCGAGAGCTTTCTGTCCCTCCATTGTAAATGTATGTACGGTATACTGTCCTTGTCCAGAAAGGAGATAAAGACATCATCAAAGTAGTCCATGTGACATCAGTGGGTTAGTTAGAGTGTGTTGAAGCATCGAAAATACATTTTGGTCCAAAAATAACAAAAACTAGGACTTTATTCAGCATTGTATTGTCTTCCGGTTCTGTTGTGGATCCGCGTTCAGTGCCGCTGCTGACGTAAGACGCTGCTGACGTGTGTGTGTGTGTGTGTGTGTGTGTGTATTCTGGTTCTGTTGTGGATCCGCGTTCAGTGCCGCTGCTGACGTAAGACGCTGCTGACGTGTGTGTGTGTGTGTGTGTGTGTGTGTGTGTGTGTATTCCGGTTCTGTTGTGGATCCGCGTTCGATGCTTGAGAGAATTAATTTACATTTTGAAATAAATCAAATCTATGTTGTCATCGTGATGACTGGTAAAGTTGAGTGGATGAATTTACAGTTTAATACAGTAAGATACAGAAATATATTAAATAAACAGAAACGAGACTAATGTAAAAGTATACTTTCATTAATGTAACGTTACTGTCATTAGAATGACTTGCCAAAATTATCTGGTTGATTCATTTTAGGGCTGGATATTAGCAGACATTTTATGATTCCATTCAATTTTAATTCACGTGCTTTCGATTCTATTTCCAATTCGATTTTACATTTATTATTTTAATGTAAATCAGGTGTAATACATGTAACATTTTCTAAAACTTTCTCTCTATAGTTAATTTTTCTAAGTAACGAGTTTAGCTTCATTTGATCTGAGGCGCCACATTAAAGAGTGATAAAATGGTATTAAAATGGACTGAATTTGAAATCGGAGACTGTTTCTTATCAAAAGTAACAAGCCTCAAAACCTCACTGATCAACTATTTCTGTGTAAAATGTTGTATTTATTGATATAGACTACAGTCTGACAATAATGTACTGCATATAAAGCATATCTATCTATCTATCTATCTATCTATCTATCTATCTATCTATCTATCTATCTATCTATATATATATACATATATATATATATATATATATATATATATATATATATATATATATATATATATATATATTTATAAATACATACTAATTATGTTGTCTGGAATGTTTTCAGTCAACATTTTAAGAAAGAAGAGAATAAAACCTGAGCAGGATGCAAAAGAACACATATTGTCGGGCAAAGACAAAGCCTTCATTGAGGGACGACAAATCAACACATTCAAAGGTAAATTGTGCACCACAAGGCAATTTGACTATGTTCAGACTGCAGGCAAATCAAATCATAAAGTAGGCATGCACTTGTAAGAATTAAAAGTAGGCCTATTGCTGGCAGTCTGGACATGATCTTTCAAATTCACACATTTTACCCTTGGGTAAGCCGCTCATTTTCATAAAGGTTAAGAGATGAAAAAAAAAAAACTTTAAACAATTTTTTTATAATTATTATTTTAAAATAAATACATAAAACTATGTATACAGAGAATAGTGTAACCAAATTCAACTAGTAGGCTATATCACAGTGAAAACCAATGCTTGATTATTTTTTTTATTTTTTTTATTTCCTGCACCTCATATTACATTACACAGTTTTACAGGATTTAACTCTTTAAAAGGATAGGTTGGTTAGCTGTGTAACATATAGGTGCACTTGGATTCATGTTTTATTTGTATTATTATATATTTTTTTGCCCTTTTAGGGAGAGGTGTGTTTGCACTTGAGCACATTGAACCATCCACCTTTGTTGTTGAATACCGTGGGATTCTCTCTCAAAGTAAACATGTTAAAGATGTTCAAGGCAACTACTTGTTTGACTTCACATGGAATGGAACACGTTATTGGTAAGCTGGCTGTTTCTTTTTTGGTTTATTTATTTTTGGTTCATATTCAGAGCAAACTAGTTGCATGTCATTCTAATAAAAACAGTTATGATTATGATTTATTATTATTACTATTATTATTACAATATAGGGCTGCACGATTTGGGGAAAATGTCATTGTGATTATTGAGGTCAATATTGCAATTGGAATATGCGATTGCGATATAATAAACAAATGGTTTCATGAGTCAACTTGCTAGGTTCTAAAGCAAAATGCACACACAGATTAGTGATAATTCTGAAATGTGTATTTCTCAACTCAAACTAGCAACAACAACTGATGTCTGGATAAAAATTAATCCACCCCCATTTAAAACATTAATTAGAGCCATCCAACATTACAGTGATTCCATCATTACAATTGAAAGCTATAATTTTTTTTTTAAACATTTATTAGACGTCAAAAAATATAACAGCTTTTAATTTAAGTGAACTTCAAATAATCCTCACATAAACCCATTATAAATGACATGTCATATTTACCTGTGCCCTTCCTGTCTAACAGGTATGCAGAAATTTAATAAAGTTATCAAACAGTCTGCGACTCTGCGCTGCATAAATAATAAATAGACTAATCCTTATTAAAGCTACATAAGTTCTTTAGTCAAGAGCAGTGAGTAATTTTCTCTGTCCCCTTTGTTCTGTGATTAACTTTACTGACAGAAAGCTTTGGCTGCTGGCCCTTTAAGAGCAGCCGCTGCTGACAGAGACACGGATCTCACATGCGCCTCATCCTCTCACAACTCTATACGTCCATCATAAGACTGCTCTTATGTTATGAAGATACTCGACAAACGACATTTTGGCATAATTGTGTGTGTTGTTGTTCGTTCAAGAGCGAAAGAGAACTGTATTCTGGCGCGTGTCTTTCTGTGAGTCACAGTCGGACATTCAGCGCGCTCTCTTTTGACTTGTCTCGCATGAATGGTTTTAAGCAATCGCATGAGAGCATTATCATGTAACACTAGCCAAAGGATGACAAAAAATAACAGATGCTGCGTTAATTGCGTTAACAGCCCATTGTTTATTTTACATAAAATCGCAGCATTTTGCACCATATAATCGCACAGGCTTGACATCGCGATTACGATTGCGATAAGATTAATCGTGCCGCACTATTACAATAGCAGATTTGCTAGGGTTCTCATAACATTAGGAACTTATTAGTTAGTGATAATCAATAACATGGTTATTGTTCAACTGGGGTATTTTTTTTACCTTAAGTGGATCATCTGACCTATTAAATTCTTAGGAAGTCAAGTTAACTTTCACAATGTGTATTTGAATATAGGTTAAATAGGCCAAGGTTAGC